AATTTTGCAAACAAAATCTTTCCGCAGAAAAGTATTGCTTTGCTGAAATCTGTACTTTTATTATGACAAATCATATTATACAATAATCAAAGCTATGGACATTAATGATGCCTTACTTCCCCACGTTCTTCTTCCTTATGTGTCTAAAAAAGATTTTCTCCCTTACCTTTAATAGAAAAACCTTTTTCAAGCGGGCTTGGTTAACTTTTTAAAACAACATCGAACCTTCTGTTACATTTTATAAATGTGAAAAATCACACGTATGACCAGTGCACGCATCGTTCAAATTCTCAAATTACTAAGCTTTAGTCCATTTGCTTCACGCCATCAATATATGAGTAAGAGTGATTTGACCTTAGATCTAAAATATAAAATCCACAGCGAATCATTCAATTTGTAATCCAGTCAAACATGCTTAACATTTTATTAAGCCAAGATTATTTATTTGCATGCATTTTCTCAGTTGATTGAGCGAAGGTGATTACAGATTATTTGTTTTTCGTTATCTATTAATTTTTCCCCTAGGGTGGTGGCGACTGCTGGTACATGTATATATGTTGAAAATGAAATAGATCAACTCAATATTTAACCCTTTAGGGCTTAAACACCATAATTTTCTTAAAGTGACAGAACGGCGCATCTCATCAAAAAACTGACTAGATAAAATTTTCCGACAAGATTTGGAATTTTTTACTACTCATAAATGTATAAACTTTCAGAAAATTACAACTTTTACAATTAAATAATTTGGATTATTTCATTAAAATTAATAGTTATTTATGGGACGTAAATATATACATCGCAACGTGTTCGGGGTTCCACATTCCATGCTATGCACGCATGCGTATATAGTTTTCATAAACAAAACAGCATGGTTAGAGAGGGAATCCCGGTAGGCCTGCTACATTGACAAAGTCGACCAAAAAGAAAAAGAAACTGAAAATAGAACTTGAAAAAGCAACTTTCCTGACTAAAATTTAGTTTGGGGATTAATAAAATCGCTGGATAAGGAAGAAACGGAACTCGGCGACACTCACGCAGGGCTCTCGAAGGTTTCGACAGGTTTGTTGATACTTGTTATCATTTCTCATTTTTCCGTCGCTTTCAAAGAAAAAAAATAGTGTAAACTCAACATAAAAAATACATCTTTGACTTATAAACATTGTTGCCATTTGAAATGCTAATTTTTTTTAACTGTGCAGAAAAATATTTTGTTTGACATTTGCCGATAACGTATGATTAGTTGGTTTTTCCTTTCTCGGACCCCAGTACACAAAACGTAAACATTTGTACTTTTAATTCTGTTAAATTCGCCTGAATGCAGACTAAAATCTTTGCGATTATTATTTTAGATTATTTTATCAGAAAGTTATGATAATTTGTGTTTTTGAAAATTGCTTTCACCCAATATTCATTATAACTGTAAACTCTACAGTGTAGGCACGTGACGTTTTAGAATTCACGTGGTACAAATAAACAGATCTAAGATTGCTCCAGTTCGTACGACCCTTGATTTTCCGGCAGATTCTAATTACGTTAATTTTGTTTGAGTAGAGAATATTTCTGTTTCTCAAACTGCTTACATCAACTTTATACCTTATTTCTTAATGACATATTGGGTAAATTTGAATGAAAAAGCACACATTTTGCAGCCGCTTTAAGGAAAATGTTCCGAAAAAGTTATCATGTGTGAAAATAGGGTCAGAAGGTAAAGTACAACGGATAGACTAGGACTAAACCCTGAAGAATAGCAGGAAATAGAATAAATAAAATGATTCTCAAAACAAAATTGTATTATAAACGTTCACAATGATTAGCATTTGTGTAAAAAATGTGTTGATTCAACCTTTTGAAAAAAAATTCACAATATATTCCTACAGAAATTTGAAAATTACAGTGACAAATATGTTCTTCCAATATAACTAGAGAAACTATAATCGAGCTCATGCTCCTAACATCTGTAGTTACCTTAAATAACTTTCAATAAAGTACATGTAGCTGCAGAGTTGTAGCTCTCCGAAAAAAAAAAAATATTGACAGACCGAAGAACCACAGTGCCATCGGTACCACAGAAAAAAAAACTGCATATTTATTGCGCATAAAAAGTTGGGCTTGGTTCTGTATTTATTTCTCCAAATTCTTAACTCAACTGCACAAAAGCTCGATTAAAAAAAAAAATCCTTAGAACCTCTATCAATAACTATCTGTACGAATCGCGTTGGACCGAAGTGTCTTGCCATCCAAAATGGCAGTTTAAATAGGCGAAATTTTGGGTGGCCCAGGAGGATATGGGAAATGTTACAATGTGAAAATACATGTAGTAGAAGAATATGTTAGGAACACATGGTAAGTATTTTGAGATGGTAGTTTAAATAAACGGGGACACAGATAGAGACAGAACACTCTTTTGTGCGCAATAAATATACACTTTTTTTTCAATAGGTGGCACTGTAGCTCTCTGGTCTTCTATCCCTTTTCCAGACTAGCCAACTAGAGATCTGCAGCTACCAATAAAGTTCCAGACACATCGTCTAGCTTACACATATAAGAAACTTTATGGAAGTACATGTAGGTATTACTAAACCTTTGCAACAAAATCAAAAACAAAAAACAAAAAAAGACACAAAACAAAACAAAACAAAATTATTATTCAGATGAACATGTGAAGTTTCTTCGTGACAAACTTTGTCCGAGATGACGGACCGGCAAGTAGTAAAAATACTCAACTGTGCTGTCACAGTTCTTATTTTTTATTTATTTTTGTTTGCCTTTTTTTTTTTGTGTAATTATACGGAGTGAAATATGTGTATTATTCAGATATCAGAAAGAGTTATCCTTCTTTGTAAATTTTTGAATTATCTTCCTTATCTTCCTTTTGTATCAGGAGTTATCTCCCTCATTTTCTCGTGCAAGTTTTCATTCAGTCTGCCATTAGAGTTCCATCCGTGTAGTCCGAAATATCTGACGTTTTCCAGGCTTTTTTCACGATTTTGATATTTTACATGCCAGGAAAACGTCAGAACCGGCGCCATTACAAAAACTGGAAATTTGCCGCCTCCAACTGGAGGCGGCATTCTCGGATTGATTTTCGATACTTGCTAACCGAATTATAAATGCTGAATTCACAACTTATCAGTAGTACAATGCCTTTAGTACTCACCAACATCGTTTATATGGGTTTGTTTATGAAATATACAATCTGTTGAAAACATTTTATCAGAGGGTCGAGTTTTCTTTTCATTTCGTGCATTTTAAATTCTTGCAAGACCAAATCGAAATGTGGAGTGATATTTTCTTTTCATCGATATTGGTGAGTACTAGAAGCATTGTGGTACTGATAAATAGTAAGTTCGGCATTTAATTCCGTTCGCAAGTATCGAAAATCAGCTCCGGTTGGAGACGGTGAAATTTCCAGTTTTCGTAATGGCGCCGGTTCTGACGTTTTCCTGGCACGTAAAATATCAAAATTGGGAAAAAAGCCTGGAAAACGTCAGATATTTCGGAACTACCATCCGTGATGATGTACATGTAACATTCTTCATACCTTCTTACGATATGTGGCCTATTACCATGTAAGTTTTTATAGGAAACTTTTGTAACTTCATACCTATTATTTGTAAAGTTTTTTTGGTGATTATTTATAGAGTTTTTGTGTATTGAAAACTTATTCAGACCGGTATATTTTTGTAAAGTTTAAAGTCACTGAAGTCACGAGAATTAGTTATTGTTATTCAATTTATCTAGTATGCTTTATAGTAATTTAATTTGTTATTATGATAAGGTTTATAAGTGAGCTTTTTTCTATGGAACACTGTTATTGTCTTTTTGGTATATAAGTATTACAGTATTTGATTTTGTTTATTTCAGTTATTTACCTCATTCGCTCACTCGCTCGTGTAGACTCATTCGCTTACTCGCTCACTTAGGCTCACTCACATAGGCTCACTTTGTCTCACTCACCTAGGCTCATTCGCTCATTCACTCATTGGAATGTGAATTTGCTTGCTAATAAATATGGAACCAGTTTACCATGTGTTCTTCAATGATCAAGTGTGAGGTTTAGCTAGCTGTTCCAGACAGCATAGTAAATAAATGTCAACTGGCCAGAACCAAACCCAGAATTTGAGGATGAGTGATCATCATCAAGAAGAAGAAGACGAACACCAGGCCTCTGCCAGGCCGAAACGTCACAGGGATCTAACTGAGAAAGGTCAAGAACTCCTAGACAAACAGATTAACACTTACTCAGCTCGTTTACAAAAGTTATGGAAAAATGTTGACACTATCATAGAGGAAGTAGACCACACATCTTCTAAAAATCCAGAACTCATCATACATTTGAAATCACAATTAGAAACAAGAATAGATGCATTCAACGTACTCTTCAGTGAATTCTGTGGTTTTCTGGAAATACATCGAACTGAAAAATGTGTACATGAACTTCAAAACCTCAAGTTTTCAAAGAAAGGATATTCTATCTTATTTGATACTGCTTTCAGAAAACTGAATGCATTGTACCAACAGTCACCACAGCTTCATGAACAGAAACCACCTCAGGAAGAAGATGTCCATTCAAATAGGTCAACAAAGAGATCGTCAACAAAGAAAATGCCTCACAAACTTCTTCAATTAGCAGTAAACAAAGTTCATTGTCTGAAAAGAGAAAGAAAGCAGAAATTGCCCGTGTCAAATTAAAATATACCGAACTTGAAATGAAAATTAAAAAGGAACAATCTCTTCTAGCATTAGAAAGAGCTAAGTCTCAGAAAATGACAGACGATTTAGAAGCAGATCTACAATTACTATCTGTTAAAAAGGAAGTCGCGGTCGCTGAAGCAGAAATTCTCAGTGAAGAGGAAGGAAGTCAGTGTGGTCATAGTGATACATGTATTAAACATTTAGAGAGTGTTGACAGTAAAGAACGTACAAAATCATATGTAGAGCAACATGCTCAAATCAGAGCTCAAAATAAAAACATTTGAGTAGAACCTGAAACTATTATGAGAGACTTACAAGTGACACCAGAAGAGGAAATTGACTTTCTTATCAAATTCACTAGTCTATCAGCACAACAACAGATTATCAGCATTAAAGCAGCAAGTGCGAGCAATCCTGTGCATGGACTTCAGAGAATTTGGCAAAGATTAGAGGAGAGATTTGGTTGTCCTGAAATGATAGAATCTGCTTTAAAAACGAAACTGAACGCATTTGCTCCTATTACATTGAAAGACTATCGTCGTCTATATGACTTGTCTGATATTTTGGATGAAATCCTAGCAGCAAAAGAAGATATCCGTTACCAATCATTACTTGCATACTTTGATGCGTCGACAGGAGTGAAAACCTATCGTCATGAAGCTTCCATACCAACTTCAAGAAAAATGGACGAATACAGCAGTGAAATACATAAGTGAACATCATGTTGTGTTTCCCCCATTTCATGTATTTGCAAACTTTATTCGTGAGCAAAGCCGTATCAAGAACAATCCCAGTTTTGCTTATACAGAGTGAAACTTGCATATCCAGAAACACAGTGACAAAACTCTGAAGATTTCAAGCAGGAAAACAGCTGTGTCTCGGCAACCACAGATTCTTCGTAACTCAGGAAAAGAAAACCAGTGTCCCCTTCATAAGACAAACCGTTCCTTGGAACAGTGCAGAGCTTTCAGAACAAAACCATTTGATGAACGGAGGAAGATCTTGAAAGATAACAATTTGTGTTTTAGATGTTGTTCGAGAGATCATAAACAAGCAGAGTGTCATTCTGATGTGCAGTGTGGAGAATGTGGAAGCAAATTTCACACATCACCATTACACGTGAACAGGACAAAAGTTCAGACTTCATACCCTTGGAGAAACTATGGCGGGGAGAATTTCACTGAGAGACAAGTTTTAGATTCTGAAAATGTGAACATCCCAGCTGTGAATTCTAAGTGTACACAAATATGTGGACAAACATTTGGTGGAAAATCTTGTGCTAAAACCATTCTGGTGCATGTGTACCCAAAACACTGTCCGCAAAAATCTGTGAAAATTTATGCAGTGATTGATGACCAGTCAAACAGAACACTTGCTAAACCAGAACTCTTTGATCTTATGGACACTCATGGAACTATGACAAATTACCTGTTAACATCTTGTTCAGGAAAAGTTCAAAGGTCAGGACGTAAAGTTCATGGATTAGTTGTTGAGTCATTAGATGGACAAAACTGTATAGATATACCTACAATTATTGAGTATGATGAAATTCCTACACCAGATGTAGCCCTACATTATGAACATTTGCTTGACATTGCTGATCACATACCACTAGTTGATCCTAATGCAGAAATCCTGTTACTGATAGGAAGGGACATAACCAAAGCACATCACGTTTTAGACCAACGCATTGGATTGGGAAATCAACCCTGTGCCCAAAAATTGTCCCTTGGTTGGACTATCATTGGTGAGACTTGTTTGGGAAAAACCCATAAACCAGATGTCATTAATGTCATGAAAACTTGTGTTCTACCTGATGGCCGTCCAACTCTGATGCTACCTTGCAACAGTAACTTACAGGTCAAGGAAAAAATCCTCAATGAAACCTCAACAAACATCATTTGTACAAAGACTGAAATTGGTGAAAGTGTTTTTCAGAGGACAGAGAATGATGAAAAGTTAGGACTTTCTATGGATGATCATGAGTTCTTAGACATCATGAATTCAGAATTTACAAAAGATCTTGATGGACATTGGCAAGCTCCACTTCCTTTTCGTAAGGACCGTCAAAGACTAGTAAACAACTATGAACAAGCTGGGAAGAGAACAAAACAGTTAGATAACACTTTGCAGAAGGATCCTACAAAGAAAGAACATTTCGTGGAATTTATGGATGCATTGTTCAAGAATCATCATGCAGAAATAGCACCGCCTCTACAGAGTGGAGAAGAGTGTTGGTACTTACCATTGTTTGGAGTTTACAACCCAAAGAAACCAAACAAAATTCGAGTTGTGTTTGATTCTTCAGCAAAATTCGAAGGAAAGTCGCTTAACGACATACTACTTACCGGACCGGACTTGACAAACAGTCTTCTGGGTGTTTTAGTACGGTTCCGCAGAGAGAAAGTCGCATTAATTGGAGATATTGAACAGATGTTTTATTGTTTTAAAGTCTGTGAACCTCATCGAAATTTCTTGCATTTTCTATGGCATGAAGACAACAATCCTGAAAAGAAACTGATCGAAAACCGTATGACTGTTCACGTCTTCGGAAACAGTCCCTCGCCAGCCATCGCAACCTACGGATTACGCAAGACTGTTAAGGAAGTAGAAGATATGTTTGGGACGGTGTAACTCAGTATGTAGAACGTGATTTTTATGTGGATGATGGATTAACATCACAACCTACCGTAGAAAAAGCTGTGGACCTAATGAAAAGAACACAGAAAGCTTTGAGTTATAGGAAATTACATCTTCACAAAATAGCTTCAAACAACCAGGAAGTTATGAACGCTTTTCCACCTAGTGATCTGTCAAGTGAAATGAAAGACTTGGATTTATCAAAAGACAATCTACCAACACAGCGCAGTCTAGGACTAAACTGGGACTTGCAATCAGATTCCTTTTTCTTTAAAATTTCAAATGACGTCAAACCATTCACAAGAAGAGGTGTATTATCAACAATAAATAGTATATTTGACCCCCTAGGATTTCTCGCCCCAATTATCATGCAAGGCAAGTCACTTATGAGGAATCTTCTTCAAGAAACAGTCAACTGGGATGAACCTTTACCAGAAAATCAGTCTATTCAGTGGGAAAAATGGAGAAATTCCTTACAACATCTCCAAAATCTACACATCCCAAGAGTTTACATAGAACTGACTCAGTCATGGAGTGAGACAATGAACAAAACAATTCACATTTTTTGTGATGCTTCAGAATCGGCAATATCAGCAGTGGCCTATGTAGAATCACAAGGAAACTTTGGATTTATCCTCGGCAAATCAAAACTTGCGCCCTTACAAGGACATTCGATACCACGTTTAGAACTTTGTGGCGCTGTGTTAGCGGTGGAAATTGCTAAGTGTGTATCAGAACAGCTGGAATTACCGATTGAACATTTTAAGTTTTACTGTGATAGTAAAGTAGTGTTGGGATATATTTTCCACAATTCAAAGAGATTCTATCAGTATGTGGCAAACAGAGTGATGCAAATTCGAAAAGTGACCAAACCAGATCAGTGGTCGTACATATCAACAGACAAAAATCCAGCTGATCAAGCAACGAGACAGATTCCAGCTCAAGCTCTACAAAACAGTACTTGGCTTTTAGGACCATCACCTGCACACTTACAACAGATTCAGCACCCATGCATATCTTATGAGATGGTGGACCCAGATTCAGACAGGGACGTCAGACAAGAAATCACTTGTTTAAAGATTGACATCTCTAGACTCGGACTGAAATCGGAAAGATTCTCACGTTTTTCACAATGGAGGAAACTTGTTGAAACTATTGCCAGACTTCAACATATAGCACATTCCTTTCAACAAGGAGACAGTAAATGCTCTGGGTGGCATGTGTGTGAAGATTCAAGAACTGTGGAAAATTTCAACAAAGCTGAGAAACTTATCATCAAAATTGTGCAGAAAGAAGTGTATTTAGAAGAAATCCAGTGCATATTGAAAGAAAAACCTCTACCTAGAGATAGTAACATTTTACCTCTTTCACCATTCTTGGATAAAGATGGAATACTGAGAGTCGGTGGACGTCTCAACAAAAGTTCTTTACCAATCAACGAGAAAAATCCAGTGATAATACCCAGAAACCATCATATAGCGTTGTTGATTGTTCGTTACTATCATGAACTCTGTAAACATCAAGGTCGCCACTTAACAGCAGGAGCGATTCGTAGTGCTGGATTCTGGATAATAGGAGCCAGAAAATTAGTTTCATCCATACTTCAAAACTGTGTCAAATACAGAAAATTACGTGGAAAGCTATTGTGTCAAAAAATGTCGGACCTTCCTGCAGATCGTTTGGAGCCTAGTCCACCATTCACTTACATTGGCCTAGATACGTTTGGACCATGGGAGGTAGTTACTCGTCGGACGCGTGGAGGATCTGCAAACTCAAAAAGATGGGCAATCTTATTTACCTGCCTTACAACGAGAGGAATTCACATTGAAGTTGTGGAGGAGTTGAGCTCTTCATCATTTATCAATGCCTTTAAGCGGTTTGAAGCCATTCGAGAAAAAGTTACCCAAATTCGTTCAGATCAAGGAACCAATTTCGTGGGTGCTATAAATGATCTGAAAATCGATTCAGCTGGACTCAACTTAGAAGACGGTAAATTCAAAAACTTCCTTTATGATTGTGGAACTACTTGGAAGTTTAATCCACCCCACTCTTCGCATATGGGTGGCGCATGGGAACGCCTCATTGGAGTAGTAAGACATGTGATTGATGCAGTTATGTTGGAGATACCAGATAGATCACTAACTCATGAGATACTGACGACATTTATGGCAGAAGTTTCAGCAATCGTAAATGCCAGACCATTAGTCCCCTTATCGGAAGATGCAGATGAACCGTACCCTCTGAGCCCTTCCAAGAATCTTTACCCAGAAAACCCCTGTGATCGTCGACCTTCCTGTTGACAAGATGAACATGTATCAAGCTCAATGGAAATGCGTACAGCATATGGCAGATTTATTCTGGACGCGCTGGAGAAAAGAGTATCTTCATACTTTACAGATTCGTCGCAAGTGGACACGTACTGAAAGAAACATTACACAAGGTGATATTGTGTTACTTCGCGATAAAGATGTTCATCGTAACCTTTGGCCTATGGGTGTCATTGTGAAAGTGTTTCCCAGTTATGACGGGAAGTTCGTAAAGCTGAAATTCGTGTCGTGAAACGCGGTTGCCAGTCGTCAATATTCATTGTCCAGTTACAGAGATGGTGTTGCTACTATCCAATGACATTGATGTATAGCTTGTAATTGTATATGTGATGTTAGAAACATCAGACGGGGAGTGTGCTGTCACAGTTCTTATTTTTCATTTATTTTTTTTGCCTTTTTTTGTGTAATTATACGGAGTGAAATATGTGTATTATGTATTATTCAGATATCAGAAAGAGTTATCCTTCTTTGTAAATTTTTGAATTATCTTCCTTGAGTGGAAATCTTTTGTATCAGGAGTTATCTCCCTCATTTTCTCGTGCAAGTTTTCATTCAGTCTGCCATTAGAGTTCCATCCGTGATGATGTACATGTAACATTCTTCATACCTTCTTACGATATGTGGCCTATTACCATGTAAGTTTTTATAGGAAACTTTTGTAACTTCATACCTTGTATTTGTAAGGTTGTTTGGTAATTTATTTATAGAGTTTTTGTGTATTGAAAACTTATTCAGACCGGTATATTTTTGTAAAGTTTAAAGTCATTCGCTTACTCGCTCACTTAGGCTCACTCACATAGGCTCACTTTGTCTCACTCACCTAGGCTCATTCGCTCATTCACTCATTGGAATATGAATTTGCTTGCTAAAACCCCTGTCACACCGGGACTGTGTCCTCACGGCGATCGCACGGCGTCCATAAAAAATGCAAAACGCCGAGGTGAGCGCAGTAGAGTCTCCTACAGCGCCGTGACAACGCGGGGAGATCTCCACTGAACACGGTAGGGTCGCGTAGGGTCTCCCAGAACGCCAGGGGACGGCGCACTTTGGGCATGCACAAAGTACGCGCCGTGTGATCGCCGTCTGATAAGAACGCAGTAGAAACGTAGTATGATCGCCGTAGCAGCGCGGTGAGATCTCCAACAACGCAGTGGGAGCTCCGTACGCACGCCGTGAAGACGCACATGATCGCAGCATGAACGCAGTGATAGTAGACCTCGCGGATTCCTTGGAGATGTCACGGCGTTTCTAGCACGCTTTTACGGCGCTTCTAATGAGATTAATTGTCTTGTGATTTTTTTGACTGCGATTACACAGCGACAAGGAGTTGTCACTCGGACCATTGCGCTCCCTTGGCGTTTCTACCGGGTAGGTTGGCGATTACAATGCGCTTTCACGGCGTTGTTAGAGCGTTGTCTGCCAGCTCACAAAACAAGAGCAATGGCCTCATATTTGATCAGCAATAATTCTAACGTATTTGTTGCACTCCTGGCCAGGAGCATGGGATTGGAGTAGAATTGGGAAGTAAAAATTACACCAGAACCTGTTCTGTTGTTTCAGTGGAGTTGTGATGGAATTACTTAAATTTTATAACAACTTTTAAGTGTGTTTATTTTTTACATTCATAATAAAATCAAAGTTCAAAACAATTATAAAACTAACAGTAATTTAGTACTAAATTATTCAAATACATCATTTTTGAAGTCTTTTCGTTATGTGACTCGAATCTTTAATAAAAAAATGTGTTACGCTCCTTCTGAATATATATCCATAGTGAAGAACGCATCGTGGACGTATTGTGAACGCAGCAAGCGCAGTGAGAACGCCGTGAACGCTAGGTGACAACTCCTAACACGCCGTAAAAGCTCCGCGGAAGCGCAGTCAATCGCCAAGAGATCTCCGTTGGGAACGCAGTAGCACGCCGCGAGAACGCCATAGAAACGCGTGGGTCGCCGTAGGGACGCCGTGACATCTTCACATTGTAAAAATTTTACAGAAATTTGTGCGATTTCCCTGCGATTCCACTGCGATTTTAACATTTTTACAACGCCGTAATGACTCCGTGTGGACGCAGCTTGGTGTGACAGGGCCCTAATAAATATGGAACCAGTTTACCATGTGTTCTTCAATGATCAAGTGTGAGGTTTAGCTAGCTGTTCCAGACAGCATATCAACACTTTTTTGTTATTTTCTATTGAAGGACACAAAGGGATTATAATTCATATTAATCGGAAAGCAGTGGAGTAAATTCTTGTATATTTATCTGCAATATACTCTAGAGGTTAAAGTTCAATTGAAAATGCCGTACAGGAAGCCTGTGACCACCATTCCTATGACAAATGTAATATTATGAGTAGACCGCCATTTTGGATCTTCAAAAAGGAATGCATTTGTTTGCTTGTCATCAAATACCAGGTCTTCATGGGGGTCTTTCTTGGATGATTGCCCACAGATTTCCGTTACCCAGCGCCTCCAGAGAGGACGAGAGTCTGCAGAGGACTCGGAAGCGGCGGGGAGACTTTCATTTGATGCTAAAATGGAAACATTACATAAATTGATTAGTATAAAATTTACGAAAAAAAGATCCTCTTATATTTTCAGAACAATCACAATTACAGGCTTCATTTAATTGATTACTTTTCTCGAAATCAGATTTTACTGTTCAGAATACTTTTTACGTTATACCATGAGGGTAATGATAACCTCATTAGAACCTTATTGTAACGCCTTAACGGTCACCAGTATCATTATATTTTTTGAACCAATTATATGGGAGTCTTCTCCCATCATGCTATATTTCAGACTGGTCCTAATGGCAATGATTAATTTTATACAAATTTGATTAACTCTCAATGAGTATATTCCAATTTTAACTTGAAATTATGTAGGCTTGGTTTTGGGGAGTTTTTGCGATCAGCTTGATTTATAATGCAGTATAAAATATTGTCAACTTCTCAGTAAATACTGCATGCATACAAAGTACATGATTTGGAGCAAAGTTATCATGAGAACATATATATATATATATATATATATATATATATATATATATATATATATATATATATATATATATATATATATATATATACATACATTTGTAAAGAAAAATAATTTAAAATAAAAAAAGCTTTTAATTCCATCCTGAAAGTCTGGACCCTTTTTGCGGAACCATCCCTGTTCTTTGGGACATAAACAAACTTGAATATACTCTTCATAAAAGTGCTTGACAAGTATTAAAATTTGTTCCAAAGCAGATCTTGAGAAAATTTCTTAAAATTTTTTTTTAGGTATTTAATTTAGTACACAATAGATAGGCCAACATTTTCCTCAAATTCAATTTTGTTCAAACTTTGATATTTTGTTCTAGGATACTCTTTATATATAATATGAAAGAAATTCAACCGTACATTTTTTGCCCACTTAGTATGAAATATGGCCTATCAGACCCCTGTAAGAAGACTGTGAAATCTGACAGCCGTCCTGAGATTGTGCATTTTCAAAAAATAACCAATTGATCTATTGTAAACTTGTGTGATGCTGTTTATAAAGAGAACCTTTTAGTACTAAAATTTAGTAAAATATTTTGATACCGGTATATTTGAGTAAAATGTGATGTAAAAATAGAACATACATAACCCAGGAATTGAAAATTTACATGTAAATATGCCACACGTTAAGTCCTCTTTAAACAAAATGTATGATTCAATTTTTACAAAAAATCAACAGAATAATTAAAATGAAACCCAGATAAAAATATGTCAAAATGAGGAAATTTGAACCGGCGGTTTAAGGTATTTTGGCGATTTTAAAGAAATCAAATACGGAAGGGATTACCCTATTTATTTTTATATAAAAATTGTATAATGCTGAGAAAAATATTCTATAGATTAATAAAATTGCTGCACAAATCCTTGGCATTTTCTCAATTGAACGGAATTTGAAGAAACTTATACCGGACGGTACATTTTTACCCTTATTCAACTAAAAACTTTACGAATAGAAATTATACAACTGAGCTGGTGATATTTGTGCAGCAATACCAGCAAACTTTGGAATATATTGCTTCTTAATACACCTTGTTTCAGTTAAATAAAATAGAGCATGTCCTTGCGCCGAAGCATTTTTGTTGATGTCCATTATAATCTTGTGTATGACGTCATAATATGACGTCATGATGTGTACTGCCTATCTCATGTCGTGGGCACCAAGTATGTATTAGACAATAAGTTTTAACTTTCTCTGTATAAAAGATATAGTCCTTAGGCATTTTATTTAGTTTATTTGCATAGAAATGCCTAAACCTAGCCTTAACTCACCTGAGTATAAGAAAACAAAAAAAATTGTCAAATTAAATGCACGGTAGATGAAGAATATCAAACACTACTTGGAGATCGACAAAATTATGTCTAGATTTACCGTTTGGTTTTTCTACAGACATTATCGTGTTTACTGTGAACATTTCGTCACCGCTGTCTTCCTTATTTCTCTCTGTTGTTATCCGAGTTTTCCATGTCAGGTCTTTTATCTGCATTAAAAAAAGATTGTCATTCTGTGATACTTTCATGCTATGTGTCAACGTTCTTATTATATATGTATTGGCTATTATTTTAATTACTTGTTCCTCCGTCTGCGCCTCAGTAAGGAGACTAATAATGACAATGGCCAGAGAAGTGATAAGAATCATTAGAGCGCCAAAGTATGTGTAATGAAGATTGGCAAGAACTGAAGGTCGCGTGTCCTCTTCACCACAACCAGGCGCCGGGTAAGCCATATCCAGACCTAGTCTGATTATCCCACACATGTGACCAATAGCTATCCCCCAGAAGGCCCCCTAAGGAGAAAATATACAACAATAAAAATGATAATCTCTAAACGTTCACAGGGATAGAAATTTGACAACTTAAAATTGTATACCAGGTACCTGTTCAGTCATACGTTTCCAAGCAACGGCCAATAAAAAGAGTGCTCCAATGGGTGTTCCGAGATAGCTTTGTACAGCATTGATATAAGCAAAGAGTTGTCCTCCTTGTGAAGACCTCACTAATGGTATCCATAGAATGCTCACTACACACAGAGCAACGATGAAGATTCTGAAACAGCATCATAGTAATTATCTCCCTAACTTTTAATGTTCTGATTGGTTCAAACTGTTGACATGATTTTTGCCATGTTTTTATTTTTCTGCACAATTTAAGATACAATTGCTTTGATGATCAAGGATCCAAGATACAAAAAGTTTTCTTTCAAATGATACCGAATAAAACATTCTGATACAGGTATATGTTGAAGATTAATTGAATCCTAACATATACTTTGTGCCATCATTTATCACTATCTAATACCTCCCCACAATCAAAAGTTCCCTTTGTCTTGCTGTTGGGCGCATGCGCCTCCAAAGGTCCATTGTAAAGATGGTGCTTGAGCTATTAAAGATGGACGTCAGTGAGCTCATATTAGCAGAGAGCATTACCGCCATTAATAATCCACGGACACCTATAAAAAAAACCCATAAAACTAAAGACTAAAGGCTAAAGATTCCAATTCTCGTTACTTATTTATCAAAATTATACTTCACTTTACAAGAGATAATGAACAAAAATTAAGTAAAAGTCACATCAACGAAAGATGTGAGGGCTTATACAGCTTATTTTCTGTAAAGTGGTATATAACATAATAATAGAAAAAGAGACTTTTACATTGGTGGAAGACATCAACATATCTAAAACACCTACAATGTTGAATTCCGTTGGATGGTTCGAATATAAAACTTTCAAGGAATATATGATAATGGGAATACAAACCATATGGCAAAAGCTCAAGGACAAGTTTTGGGTAAGCTATATTGGAACAGCCAACAGGGTTATCACAGTACTTTGTACACTCCTCTGGATCCGCACATCCCACTTCGTCTGTAAAACATGTTTAATAGGCAATAGGCACAAACATGTAATGTACATGTATATGCAAATATATATACAAAGAAGTGCCTTTTTCATCCTTACAAAACAAAATTCAAATATTATACTTTTGGAAACAAAGTTTATATGTATACACGTGGTAAATAGTACCTGGGTAGAGGGCTCTACTTATCATCCCGGGGAAGATCATCATAACAAGAGGAAGCATCTTCAGGTATCCTGCCAGCAGGGCCCCACCCTTGGCATGGGAGAGATTCCTGGCTGCCAGAGAACGCTGTACGATAACCTTATGCAGAAAATTAAATTTCAAAGTGTTTGTTTAAAATACAGGTCTTAAATGTCTGTAGCTTTCCCAGTAATAAACTATTCAATAATTTTACAAAGCAAAGGAGATTTGAATTAACCCGCCAGTTTACCTGATCACAACACCAATACCACAAACAACCAATACTCGATTGAAGGAGCAAACCAGGCCAAGGGTTATCAGAGTTCACAGGGTCACGAAAAATGTGAAACGCATCATCCCGAGGCATTCCGCATGTAGTGTTCTCATTACGTATCGAGGGATAGGCTTCCATATATTTCTTCTGAAACTGACCATATCCACCAATTTTGTTAAAGCCTACGAAAACGACTTTTCCTTGGTTATGAATGTAATGCGGTATAATTTTTTTGCAATATAATTGAAATATCACAATCCTTTTATTTGTCACTTTGTATATGCGTGTATTAATTGTGTTAATTTGTTTTATGTAATTATTGGTCATGACTGTATGCCGACATGGTAATTGTCCATAAAGTGAATTGAATTGAATTGAATTTATCCACTGGAACTTTGAAATTTTAACTTTCGATTAATTAACTTCGATTTGTACCCTGTTCTTTGTAAATGTCCATTTTGAAAACATTTAAAGCGCACTTCTTCTATATATTTACAACGCTGGAGGACCACCAGAATTATTACATACTTATTCCAACTACAATAAAGGATCCCACGGTTAGAATTATAGTTTGCAAGGCATCCGTGTAAATAACAGCTGTAAGACCACCTGTAAATTATAAAAAAGAACACATACTTATTTAGATTTTCATAAAGTCTTGAATTAAAGCTTGATTATTTTTCGCTATTTTAGTCTCTGTCCAGCCATGTACCTAAAACTGTGTACAGTCCGGTAATGACGAGAAGAGAGGCGATGGAGGCGTAATTATTCCACCCCAGGGCCAGCTGTATAAATAACGCCCCCGAAAAGATGCTGACCTGATGAAAAGAAATAAGTTAATAGATATTTTTACAAAATGATAGCTTTAAGAAAAGTAAAAAAAGTTTATTTATTGAACCTGATAAAAAAGATTTATAAATAAAGTTTCTATACGTGTAATCAATCTTGATTCGCATTTGCTTCAGCAGTCGTTAGATTCAATGCTAACAAAAATGTCTCGATTACATTTAGTCACAAATTACTGTCAAACAGAAGGAGAGATAATGCTCATACCGCCAGTTTTGTGACGATATAGAGCAGAAGAGAAAGCACACTCATGTAGATACGGATTCGCTGGCCCCCAAATCTTTTTCCCAGGTATTCAGGTAAAGTATACACCTTTAAAACAGAATCAATCGTAGAGAGACACGTAGTGTAGCAGCAATATAACAAAACCCAAGTTGTCTTCTTAAAATTTTGATTTCTATTGAATTTTCTTTTTTCCTAAAAACCTTAAATTTAACTTTACCTTTGCTGAAATATACACCGGAAGAAAGAACCAAGCAGCAAGGGCTATCAGTGGAAGACCCTAAAAATTAGAATATTTTTAGCATATTGCAAAAAGATTATTCAAACAAAAACACAACACATTCTTCTTACATAATGAGATTCATTTATGGGCAAAAATCCATTTTTAATTGTTAATTTTCACGTAAAATTAATTTTAAATTTGGACTTCCTCAGAGCTGTACCGTCCATTCGTAAGATATCATGGCTATTCCAGCAGCCGCCCCGGAACCAGCCAGTCCAATGAAATGTTCAGTCCCAATATTACTGGAGTAGATCGATGCTCCGATCTGTGTAAGAAATATCAGTAACAATTACATGTATTTAGAAAGAAAATTTCATTTTACACAAGGTGTGAAAAACTCTGAAATACATTATTTTTAAGTATATATAAATATGAGAACAGTTCGTATTATTTCATGTTTTTACTAAAATATTTTGTATTTATTAATACAATATGGAAATAGGAAACACTCTCTTTATCTAAATTACCACTATGATATTTGTGTAATCGCGGTCTTAAATGTTTTGATTGTGACGATACTACCATCATACATGTACCTATTCTCTCCTTATTTCATACCTTAATTAAAAGTTACTTTAAAAATGTGGGAATATCAGGAATACACCTTCTGGTTTTATGAAGGGCAATCTCCTTTTGAAGAAAGATAATAAAAAAGGTTAAAATACGGATGACTAAATAAAAATTATGTTTCTCAAGAACTACTAGTCCGGAAAAAATGTATGACCTCCGTAATGTTACTTTGAACTTTCATAATGTTATGGATAAAGTAAAAATGCAATCGATTGATAAATATAAACAAGGAGTCTGAATAAAGGATTAAAAATCATGCAAAAAGATTTACTTCTGTTGAAAATGTTTAGCAAGATAGATCTCTGTGATATCATCTTTTACCCTAATCCCTCATTATTAATTCACTTGTAATGCCTTGATTGAAGTATTTGATACAGTTGAATTTTTATGTGATACAGTGCTAAAGTTGTCTCTGGTCTGAACTTTAGTAAATAAGTAAATTATTTTGCAAATGCAGACTAGAATTAAAAAGATAATGAAAGTTTCAGAAAGGCATAATACAGTATATTTCGAAAGAAGTACAAGATTCGTACCTTCTAGCAATTGTTTTTAAGACTAAACAAAATAAGCCTTACCATAACAAACCGGGACACTTGTTCTATTTACATACCTATTCGGATGCTGCCTTATCGAAATTAAACTTTCAATATAGAGAAAAATGCCAAAACTTGGAAATATCTGGAATATTAAACCACGTCCCAAATGAGTGTGAAATAGGTACTTGATGCTACATTTTCTTTTAAACTCATGTGCACCGTTTTGGGTATACAATTCAAATCTCAGCAAGAGGTTATATAAAATTCTTATATAATAAAATCGTGTGTTTATTTTTTGCTGATTTCATAGGGTCAATCAAGCAGTTCTTTGTTCTGGTCAAAAATGTAAAATAAAAACGAACAGACTGTCAAAAGGAAAGACAAACAAACGTTCATAAAAAGGGTCTCTTGAGAATTTGGCAAGTGAACTAAAAAGCATGTAAATTCATTGCTAAAATCTCTAGCTGTTTCTGAAGTGTACATCCCGATAAATAAATGATAAATGGTACCTGTTAAAATTCAATTGACGAAAAGCTTGCGTTACTAGTATATAGAAATGACTTATCTTTATAATGGCCAGGCGACCTCTTAAATTTAAATCTCACAACTAGATAATATTCAGTATACACAGTACTTTAAAGCATTGTTAAAAATCCTTATTATAATCAATTTTATATAAGTTTAAAACACTTCTATATAATATATATAATAACACATAATAGATATAATATCTAATATTAGTATAAATACTACAACTGAGATATATTTAGAAGGATAACACTTAGGGAAAATCTTACAGGAAACCAGGTCATTTGTCGTCCTGCTAAAAAGTAGCTGTTGACGGTGCCTCGTGTATGTCTCCAGAAAGCCTAAAATGAAAGTTAAACACTAAGAGGCACGTTTGAATCATAGTAATACAAAAGAATGTGGTTGTTAACTGTACATTAAAAAAATAGTGTATGCCTAAAGCTAAACATAAAACTCGGTTATGGAGAAGTCCTGGAAACCTTTTTACTTACTTTGTTATATCCGTTTAACGAATTCGACAAAGTACAGTATATAGGCAACTCGCAATAAACGTAATTTCAATCATATAACGACTAATGAAAATTAAATACAAAACTTCCTTTAATAAGAGAACTAAAGTTTTCTGTTGAATTAATTTTCAAATATAATACTTACTGTACGAAAAATAATGCAAATTTATAATATATATTTATATTGAAGTCTATAAAATTAAGATGCAAATTTCATTATTATTTTAACCCCTGTGAGACACAAAACCAATTCCGTAACTTTGTTATATCAGAGTTCTTTATCTTAAACTTTACAATGAATTGTTAAGAATTTTACCTTATATCCAAAAACACTTCACTATATCCGTAAATTCGCTTTATTCGTTTTCGTTCTAAGCGAGTTTTACTGTATAGATCTTATGTCAGCGTAAAAAGAATGTAATTCTTGATAATTTTCTCACATAAAAAGCATACTCATCATTGCGTTTTTTTCAGTAATACATTATTTAATTCATTTTTATACAATTTTCTGAATATTAAATAATACTATTCTTTAATTTTCAAGATTTTTTTTTACATCTTTAAAAAAAGAAGAAAATAAAATTATATTTTATACAAAACTTACCCATAATCCCACTGCAAGCACAACCACAAAATAAATGACCACAACCAGAATGTCTGACCAATGGTCTAAGCCTCTGGTAACCATTCTTACAAATCGGTGACCTTATTTTATCAGGTATCCATCTCCTTAAGCAACGGTAAGCAATAAGTCACAACCTTTCCAACAAAAGATAAAATCAAAATGGGGATCAGAAATTCAAAACTTACGCAAAAATTCTTTCAGGTCTCCTTGAACTAGAGCTTGGTGTCACGTATTAAATCAAGGACTTATTAGATAGGGGTTTATTATTTTTTTTTTGTTAGGTACCTAATTACATCGAGTATCATTTTTATCATCATATATTAAAACATATGTCGCTGACCCAGAACGGATCTAAAATCTAATTCTAATTTACTAGGCTACATAAACATTAAAGATTACTCAAAATAGGATGCTTTTCTCACACAGTAGTATTCATCAATATCAGTTGAATTTTGTAAAGTTTGTATCGAATGTTGTACTCTTTTTCGAAATATAGATGTTCAGTATATCAAATGTAAAAGGTAAAGATAACGAACAGTGACCGATCTAAAAAAATCAATAAAAATCAATAATACGAGTATCTGAAGAGGGCATAAAACACGGACCCCTGGAAATTCCAGAGGTGGGATCAGGTGCCCAGGAGAAGTAAGCATCCGCTGTTGACCGGTCACACTACATTGCGTAGTCAAATTTAGTATAAAAACAAAGGCCTAACAAATGAAACAAGTCAGCCAAAATACGACCCAATGATAGGTTATATTTGCTATCAAAGTATTTTTAACTACCAGAAAATTTACGAAATGATGGCTTTAAACGAGACTGTTGAAATCCCTGCAACATCAACTTACCAGTGAGAAGTCTGTCTCGCTTTAAAAATTGCATGATCGTATTCAGAGCAGGCTCTTGGGTAGCGAATAAGCTGGGAGACATAAACACCAAAAGCAGGTGATAGTGGTGTATATTACTACATAAATAAGGAAAGTTGACGATGGAAAAGCTAAAGTCATCGTTTGTCATACAATTTAGTTGTTATAATTGGCCTTTATCATCTTGAGTTAGGAAAACATCTAAATATGAAACAGATGTGGCAGGCACTGTGGTGTCTTTTATTTCAAGTTCACTGGGATATATCGAGTCGACATACGAATGGAAATAAGTATTGTTACTTGATAAAACATAAAACATCAAAGATATATCTGAATGCCCAATTGAAGACCACAGCTATTTTGAAAGACGCAGAAACAGTGAAGCAATGCATGATATTATAGCGTTTATACATGACGAATCTTATGTCAAATTTGAGGCTATATTTGGTATATATTGATATTTGGTATATATCCATATTGGATCTAATTTGATGCAATATTCGGTATATAAATGCAGTTCTATTTTTTCCTAATTTGAGGCTGTAACTGGTATATACCAAATATAGCCTCGGGTCTTATTTGAGGTTATATTTGGTAAAATTAAATCGTTTTGATGTTATAAACTGTACAGGACTAAAGATGCACTTTCTACCCACCTCGAGTATAGTAAATCTTTAATATTTTAATTAGATGGCGTATACCTGCACTGTTACATCCCTAAGTGTGCACATTAGCCTCAATATATTTTTTTACTTTAAAAATAAACCTGTTTCCCTTATAGTTTGAAATGACTATGCTTAATGTTATAAAAAAAATTATAAGAATCAAGGATCGAAAAACCCATCTTTGATCCTTACCCTAACAAAAAAAATTACTATCATTTACTATAGTATCAAATTTTTTTTACTATGAATTTCAAATTGCTATATTTCAGTTTCTTCAAGTCCTAAATGTTATTTTGTGTTGTAAAAAACATTACTTGTATATTCAACTTTACTTCAGTTGTATGTAATTAAAAAGACATTAAGGTCCTAAGTCTAAAAAAGAGCTAGAGTAAAGTTCCATAGCATAGTATTTACTATTTTTAACTATAATAAATGATAGTTAACTTTATTACATATATTTTTGTTAGGGTAATACAAAAATATTATACCTCCCATCACAATTGTGTTCCCAAGCGTTACCAAATTCTGAATTCGATGCACATTTTAATGTTCCCAACTTCAGAATATGATATTCGAGCTGAAATCATACGATGATGCTTATGTTCAATCATTCGGGACATTGTTTGCTGAATAATGAATTCCAATTAATGTGGTTTTTTCTGAATTTTCGGAAGTCATAGAAACTTTTCAAACACAATAAGGTATCGAAAGAGAAAATACAAAGAAGCCGTTTGCCAGGAAATAAATTTTATAATATATTCAGGAAAAAAATATGGAGCTTTTTGCTATGCCCAGTTACTCTGAGTAAAGTCCAAAGTGCCTTATAAGCAGATTTGTTGAATACTATACTCTTAAACATTTATAGGTAAAAAGAATTCAATCATTCGATAGTGGAGAAAAAAGAAAGGATCTCTGAAGAAAATGTTAACTCGGACTAAGAATCATGCCAACCATCTATCCTTCCGTTTTCACTAAATCGAATGCCACATTAGAAAGACTACATGAACAATATGTTATGGTTCCAGCAGACAAGGCTTGTAACAATATGGTCCTTAGTTTGTAAGGCTCATTATAGAAGAATTTGGTTTTAATTCTACGTCTGGAAATTCAACTTATACCCACAGTTCACTTTCTAAGGAAGAAGTCCTTCAAAGTCACATTTCAGTGTTTAATACTTTAATATTCAAGTCAACCAAGGTAAGGTCGATCTTCTCTACCTATACTGCATTCCTTAACTTCATAAACATCTGTACAAACAAAGATACATTACAGGGTCCAGCAATTGTTCTACAAAGCTCCCATCTTTACTCCTTACAAAAATATTAACTGCTGTAAAGAAGAAACTTCAGACGTACTGTGCTACGGTATATTCTAGAAGTGGTGTAAATCAGATTTGGATTCTCAAAAACACCAAAGAACTTTTAGAAAATTTAAAACCTACCCAATTTTTTTCTAAATTCAATAACATCAAAACGTACGATTTTTAACACTCTATACAACCATTCCTCACGATAAATTAAAAACAAGTCTTTTTGATATCACAGACAACTGTTTCTTCAAAAAAAAAAAAAATGGAACTCGGAAATTTTCATATCTTGTGATTGATCATCAACACTATTAATTAAAAATCACTCTGATTCTACACATAAGTACTCTGAAGTTGATATTAAAGGGTGATGGAGTTCGTCTTTGATAACATTTAAGTAGTGTACAAAGACCTAGTCTTCCAACAGACAGTTGGGATTTCGATGGGCACTAATTATGTTCCTTTATTAGCTGACTCGTTTTTATAATCAAATGAAGCAGAATATATTTTAAAACTTCTACATGAGAAGAAGAAAATTGCTGTGGCCTTCAACTCGACATTTAGATATATCGACGACGTATTGTCAATTAACAATAGATACTTCCATTCATATGTCGACTCGATATATCCCAGTGAACTTGAAATAAAAGACACCATAGAGTCTTCCACATCTGTTTCATATTTTTTTGTTCTGTCAATACTGAAAATAGACGAAAAGGACCAACTGACAACTAAATCGTATTACAAACGAGATAAATTCAGCTTTTCCAACGTCAACTTTCCTTATTTATGTAGTAATATTCCGCCATCATCTGCATATTATGATGTTTACGTCTCTCAACTAATTCTATACTCAAGTGTATGCTCTGAGTACGATCAGTTTTTAAAACGAGGCAGTCTACAGACTGATAATCTGATGTTATAAGGATTTTAAAAAAATAAGCTATCATTGGGTCGTATTTTGGCTGACGTTTTTCATACCATTTGTTAGGCCTTTGTTTTTATACTAGATTTGACTACGGAATGTTCCGTCTACCTGATCAATACTTAGGGCTCATGGTGGGTGTAACCGGTCAACAAGGGAAGCTTACTCCTCCTAGGCACCTGCTCCCACGTCTGGAATTTCCGGGGCCCGTGTTTTAAGCCCTGTTCACAAATTTGTATTGTTTGTAGATTTTTTGAGATCGATCACTGTTCGTTATCTTCACCTTTTTCATCTTTACCCAAAAAGATCATATTATTACCTAGTTTTTCGCAGGCATAATATTTGTTTACTAGTATAAGAAAAAAAGCTGAATATGACTGCACATTGCTTTGAAAGAATTGCTGGAATAAGTATATGTCTTGGTTATTTTTTCTTTTCTTCTCCTTTCTTTTTCATTTAAAATAAAATCAGCTATGACTATTTCTTCATCCTAGAGCAAATTCAAATACATTTTAAACAGAGTGTTAGTTTGAAAAACAAACAAACAAAAAATACCCAAAGAAACAGACAAAAACAAAACAAAATCGAAACAATGATAATAATAATAAAAAGAAACAGAATCGAGCATCGAACATTGCACAAGCTGACTATTAATCTCCAAAATTTATACTAAGCTGGAAAAAAGAGTAGCTGATTTAAAATACCTACTTCAAGCAATTTTTTTGGAATCTTAAGAAGAGCTTCATCCTTGTGTTGTGCTTCTAGAGGAACTCATTTTAGTCAAAATACACTTACTCCATTGATATCAGGATTGACTATTTTATACTCCCCGAACATGTCTCTACTTGAAAAACCTACGCGACACAAAGCTATTTCTTATTTTGTGTAAAAACTTATTCCATGAACTTTTCTGCAAGAAACTGATTGTCTTTCAGATAGGAATGAATTGGCTTGATAGTGAATTAATGTGCGTCATAAGCCGTACCATACTTTGTATTTGTAGGTAACAAGTTGTTACCAATGTATTATAACTTTGCAATTTTTATCTGAATTAGTATGCGTTACGAATTTCAATGTACAATAGTGAGGTGAGATGTCTTTTGTTAAAAGTATGGGTTATCTGTACATAACTCACATATTTCTATAAACTCCGCCCATCGAGTCCTGGACAAAAAGAGCATTTCAAAGAAGCAAACAACATTTTTAAATTGAACAACCACCCTGACTAGATATACCAAATTAAAGAGGAAAAATCAGAAATTATAAAAGAAAAATTAGACGATCATTATCAATTGAAAATTTGCATTTAGAATGACTTTTCGTTAACAAAT